ACGAGAGGGGAGGCCAGACTCCACCCAATTCGTTTGAGAGACAAGATCATGGCCCCGAAGGGCCCCCGCACGGCCGCCCACCTCTGGGGCGTGGAGCCCAAAAGGCTCTCCCCGCGGGCCTTGAGAGCTCTCAGCGAGGCCAGCGATTGACACGAATTGGTGGCGGCACTCCACACGAGCATATGCCACAGCATGGCAGGTCCAAGGGCGAGCTTCCAGGTGGGGTCACCCACTAGGATTAAGCTTAAGGTTCTGCTTCTAGTAGCGCATTTGGGCCCTGCTAGCTTTAAATATTGTTGCTGGGCAATTGCTAGTTGCGTAAGGCCCGTCCCTTCATGTCCAAAAGATGTTGCTGCAAAAATCACCGTGTTGTAAACCTTCCTCGTGTCACCACCTCCTTTCTGAATAGCTCCCAGCCTCCTCATCCTTCTCTTGATCTGCTCCATCCTCGTCCTGGTCAGCCTATTCTTTCGCCATCGGCATTGGGGGGCTCCTGCAGCGGTTTCCACTCCAAGATTGGGGGCTGAGATGTCCAAGTTGGTGCCTGCACGATCCTTAAGCTTTTTCTTCAAGAGAGACCTGAGCTGCGGGGTCGAGGCTACCATCTGCGTCTTGGCTGGCGAGATCCTGCAATCCAAATCCTGCTTGATACTGGCGAGCAGACGGCGGGTGCCCAAGTCGAGGCTGCTGACCACGACCTTGGGCTTCTGGCTGTGAGACTTCAAGAGGAGGTCATCAATGAACATGAAAAGGTCGAGGGAGGGATTCTGGTGGGTCCAGGAGTCCAGGGGTTCCAGGGTGTACATCTGGATGAGATAAGTAGCAAACCCACACCCTGCAGCTAGACCGTACTTAGTACAACCGACGTAGACGATCATATCCTGGAGGGCGACGAACCTAGGACTCGAGTATATGCTGATGATGAGCCTTAAGAGGGTAGCAGGGAAACCACTTCTAAGGGCTCGCTTGGCTAACTTGCTTCTATTGACGTGCTCGTAGTAGTTACTGAGGTCATACAGAACCATACCAGACACAAAGGCTTCGCTCTTCTTAGAGTACGTTTCGCAATCCAGATTCTGCTTGAAAACGAGCTCAACTATCGAATGTCCTGCTTGGTGGGCGAGAAAAGGTCGCCTATGATGCCTCTCCCATTCTCGAGCAGCTGACTGACGGATGCGCGCCCACGTACGATATAGGCCTGACATCATTCCTATGGATCTCATAGCTGGCTTTGTTGCTGTCTTATCCTGTTGCTTGTGCTTCATGATGAGGACCGAGATGATAGCTTGCAGCTGCGACGGCATAAACCCCGGGCATTCTATGACCAGGATGAGCCGAGCTATGAGATCCGCCTGCAGTTGCGAAAGCAAGAGAAAATGCCTCGGGTGGACTCCGTCCCAGGTCGAGGCTGTTCTGGGGGGGAAACTCTTGGCGGCTGCTTGCACCGTTTCTCCAGTGAGAAGGCCCAGAGCGACGCGATCGTCGATATGACCAGGAACAGGGTTGGGTTGGGTCCTCGTTTGCGTGTCCCAGATGCTGGCAAGTCTTTCCGCTTCCCCCTCCAGAATTCTCGACGGCCTGCCTGACCACTGGCCGCGGTGAAAGGTAGAAGCGGGCTTCCAAGCCTCAAGATTTCGCGTCCAGCGATGTGCCCAGCCAACGCCGCCTTGCAGTGAGGTCTGCACCCAGGAAGCCCAGGCCTTAGAGGCCGCCAGATTGCTTTTGCTCCTCTCCGAATCGATGGACTTGTCCAAGTCCTCGATCAGGGTCCCGATGGCGTCGTCGGCTGTGCCCATTGCTAGCGTACCTGCTGCACTGTCGGAGATCAGCAGCTCGCCGAGCCGCTGGGAAGCGAGGAGCCCCTGCTTGAGGCTCTCGACCTCTTGAAACTCTCCTGGAGCATCTTGCAGCCCTGCGACGACAAAGACTAGTTGCTGGTGATCTTGATGATGGATGCAGTAGTTGATGTCCGTTAGCCTATTGCGAAGCCAACGTAGAGGTGCCTCTAGGGATTTCCAGCTTGATCTAGCTTTAGCGTCTTTGTGCTTGGCTCTTACCCATTTGATGATAGGGGGGCTGGCTCTTGGAGTAGAGGAGTGCTTCAGCGGAGTGTCCGTTGCTTGGCTGATAGTCTGCTCCAAATCTTTGACGACCGTGAAATAAACGACGTCTAGTACTGCTTGCTTTTGCTTCTGGCTGAGAGGCTTGGCGGCATCAGCTAGTAATTGATCTGCATAGTCAAGTGCGCTTGCACTCTGAGTCCAGGCCAGCTGCTGAGGCTGTGGCCCGAACGGCCGTGTTGACGGTAGCCTCTGCGGCCGAACCAACACTGGGATCATGAAGCTGTCGGAGTCCGAGAGGTCGAGACACACTGGCCTGTGGGGAGACATCGGATAATTGGCCCACGTGCGGGCCTTGTCGACATATTCACTGAGCGTCTTACTGATGATGAAATAGTCCAAAACCGATTGAGTTTTCTTCACGCGGAAGGTTGGGCTCGATGGGGCAACCACTTGAAGGGAGGCCCTGTGGAGGTAATCGAGGCTCTCGATCCTGGACGGCGATAAGTTGAAATCTCCAGCAACGATGATCGGGACCCTCTCCTGATCCTGCTGGACGGCGATGTCTGCTAACAGGCCTAGGTTGACTTCTCCAAGCCCGCCAGCTGCTTTAAAATACGCGCACATGAGCCCTAGCCGAGGTAGGCCAGGGAGCTCCAAAAGTAGACCAGTTAAGCGACTACGGTCCACTGTGCTCCTGAAACTCATGTTGGATATGCCAATGTCGAGGTTGGCTCTGACTAGAATGGCAACACCGCTTACAATCTGCTGATTGTCATTGAGTGCTGCTGGTGAGATATGCGCCAACCAACCCATTGATTGGCACCACTGAACTTGCTGCGCAATGACATCCCCATCTCTGAGCTTGTGTTCCTGGACACAAATCAAAGAACAGTCACTGGCAGCACGAGATTTGATGAACTGCTTGAGCGTGGGCCAGCAGCTCCCGTTGAAAGTGACGATGCCGAGCTTGTTAAAGAGACGGCGACGACGCCCCTGAGGCCACGGCCTGCGCAGCTGCCGCAGCGCCGCGCACCTTCTTGACCCTCTCGTCGTCGTTGCCGTGGGAGGCCATGATCTCGGAGAGCTGCGACAAGCTTTCGGCTGTGCGCCGATGGCCTGCAAAGATGTGGGGCATCTCCTCATCATGTAGATCTCGAGCTGCCACTTCTTCTCCACTGCCGACCGACATCGTCTCAGCTGCATCCCGCTCGGCGGGGGGCACGCCGCGGGCTGCGGCGGCGGAGGGGGGCCCAGGCCATGGCGAGCCGCCGAGGCCTGCCGCACCCGCGCCAGGCGCTGGCGGTGGCCCCCCGATGCCGCCGCTGTCGCCTCCCGCCTGCGCCCCCATGGCTGCCAGGTGCTGCTGCTGCAGCTGGTCGAACAGCTCGGCGACCTCCTGCACCTTGGCGGTGAGCGCGGGCGGGATGCAGCCGCCCTCTGGAATCTTGGACTGAAGGGCGGCGCTGAGCAGACCTTGCACGTTGGAGTCTGCTGCCACCTCCTGTGCTGCTGCTGACGCTGCCACTGCACGCTGTGCTTCCAGCATCTGAAGTTCTTGGCGAGCCTCAGTCTGGTCATGCAACTTCGATTTGTATTCCTCTGCCATCTTCTCGATCGAGGCCGCCAATTCATCGAGCTCGGTCTCGTAGGTGTCGAGCTTGCTCTTGATGGCGTTGATTTGGCCCGTGAGCGACTGAGTCTGCTGGTCCAAACTCTTGCCCCTGAGCGCTTGCATCTTCGCTTGCTTGAGGTACTCAACTGCGTCGTGATATTCTTTCTTATCGACTCCAACCCACTTGCGCCAGAATGAAACCTGAGCCTGAGCCAACGCCACAGGGTCAGGCGGTCCCTCCTGGGGCTTGGGTGTCTCCTCTGCCGCCTCAGCTGCGGCGGTCTGAGGTGGCGGTCGGGAGCCTCCTCTGCGCGGGCCTCGAGGACGGAAAGCGTCGCCATCTGCCTTGCCGCCCATGGAACCTTCCTTGAGGCTGGACCCACACAGAGAGCACCACTTCTTGGGAGCCCATTCCCAACCACGGCAGCCACGCTTAGAGCAACAAGAATAAGAACCCTTGCCCATGGCGGCAGCCTGCGCGGATGCGGGAAAAGGAGCGTAATAGTGGCCAAAATCAGTGAAGCCTGCGGGTCGCTGAATGGTGCAGCGTCGGGAGCAGGCTTATCAGAAGTCGGCGCTGTTGCCCCTCGAGGGGCGGGGATACCGCAGATTGCGACTTGAGCCAAAATGGCTACGGAGGAGGAGGAGGAGGAGGAGGAGGAGGAGGAGGAGGGGGAGGGGGAGGCTGACGGTCCGCACCCTCACTGAGACTCCTGCAGGGCCCGCGTTGCCAAGCCAAGTCCTGGTCGGGAACGCGCTCCAGCACGGACCCTGGAGTTGACTTGTGTGTGGGGGGGGGGAGGGCCCGATCTAAAGCGCCCTGGGCGGGGGGGGGAGCAGGGGGATGTTAAGCGACAGGAGAGGGCGGGGGCGGGCCCCACCTTCTCTCGCTGCAAAAAAAAATTGCAACTGTCTGCCTCCAGGGGCCCTCGCCGGGCCCCTGGGCCGTCAAACAATTATCCAGGATGAAGAAGCAGTCCCAAGGAAGGGGTCTAGAACTCTGGGGGTCCACATGGAAGCACGGCGACAGGTGTCAGCGGTCACGCGAATTACGAAAGAGATCACGATGGCAATGGTAAGGACAGGACGATGAAGACGGTGACGACCACGAGCACGACACCAGCTGGAAGGCAGGGATCGAAAGGGATAATTAGCACAGAGGCGCCCGCGACAGCAACGACGAGGAATGACCGTGGCAACGGCGGTAGACAGTAACAAGGAGAGTCGCGGCAACATCAGCCGAAACGGCAACCACCGCAACGGGGCATCGTCGGCCAACGCCAGCGCCGAAAATAGCAACGACATGGCAATGCCCTTGCGTGCGCCTGCGCCGTGGCCGTCAGCACGTCCAGCTCCTCGAAGCCGTCGCCCGAGTCGCGCTCGATGAGGTAGGACTCCACCAAGGCGCAGCCGGTGTTCTCGGGCACGTCCCACCTCGACAGCAGAGCGGGGATGACGGGCGGAGTCCGCCCGCAAGGGGGGCGCGCGAGAGGCGGAGGAGAGCTCGGCGGGCTCACCGAGAGATCCCGCGAGGGGAGGCCGCAGCCAGACATGAAAGCCGCGCACACGGGCGCCGTGACCGCAATGCGGAGAGGGGCTGGAGACGTCGGCGGTCCGAGCGGGGCGGTTGACCGGGCGCTCGCGCCGAAGAGAAGGGATATCTGCCTCTGTGGGGCACGCTACCCGGCCCTGGCCCCATCAACAATGGATCCAGGACGAGACAACACGCCAGGGGAGGGGATCGGGACGTCTTGAGGCCGCGCATAGGCAAAACATATCGTAGGATGTCTGGGGAAATCAGGGGGCTGGAAAACGACGACGACGACGACGAAGGCGACGGCGACGAGGAGGACGAGGACGAGGACGAGGACGAGGACGAGGACGTGGACGACGACGAGGACGACGACGACGACGACGACGACAGCGACGGCGGCGACGACGACGGCGGCGGCGGCGACGACGACGACGACGAAGCCCGAGGAGCGCACGGGCGTGGACGAGCCTCGGATGCCCCCGCGGGGGTCCCCCGAAAGCCCCTCTGAGGCCCCGCTCGGAGGCCCCCCGCGAGGGCTCCCGCGAGGCCGCTGGGAGCCGCGCGAAGGCGCTTTTGCGCACGGCCGCTGCCGCGGAGAGGCCCTGCCGCGGCGGGAGCGCGCGTTCGGCTCCCACCGCGCGCCGCCATGCCGCATTCGCCGCAGGTGCCATGTGATTGGCTTTGCGGCAGGCGCCATTCGCCTTCTCGTGAGCACGTTTCGCCCCACCCGCATCAGCCCTGGGTTGCGTCAGCCTGGCGGCGTCGTCGAGGCGCGCGCGCCGCCTCCGCCTTGGGCTCGGCGGTGGCGGGCGCCGCTCGATGCGCCACAGCAGCATAAGGGGCGAAGAGCTGTACAAAAGAAACTGTTGCGCCGTCGGTGGCGCCGGCCCCAGGGCGGCTGGAAACTTTCTACCCCGGCGGTGGCAGGTGGGGGATAAACTATCCACCCGCACTGGGAAAGGCGTCCCCGATGGCGGAAAATGTTGCTACGCATCTATGTGTATATATGTACGCAAACAACAAACATGAATGTATACATACATACATGCACGCATGCGTGTATGCATGCATACATGCATGTATGCATACATATCTGCGCATAGACATGCATACACACATACATACATACATACATACATACATACATACATACATACATACATACATACATACATACGTACATACGTACATACGTACATACGTACATACGTACATACGTACATGCATACATACGTACATACGTACATACGTACATACGTACATGCATACATACATGCATACATGCATACATGCATACATACATACACGCACGCATGCATGCATGCATGCATACATACATACGTACATACATACATACATGCATGCATGCATACATACATACATACATACATACATACGCACGCACGCACGTACGCACGCACGCACGTACGTACGTACACACATACATACACATGTATATAGACATCATGCAGCCCGTCATGCATGCATCCATGCATGTATGCATGCACACAGGCGTGCATACACACATACATACATCCATAAATGCATGCGCACACACATACATACATACACACATACAAACATACATACATACATACACGCTGCACAGAGACAGACATACAGACAGACAGAAAGAAAGACTGACAGACAGACATGCTTGCATGCACGCATATATACATACGTACGTGCATACGTACATACATACATACATACATACAAGCATGCATACACGTAACCATTTACACACATACATGCAGACTGGCAGACCAGCAGGCATACATACATGTATGCCTACAAGTACATACATACACTTATACATACATACACACATAAACGCATACATACATTCATATAGACATGGACATGCACATACACATCCACATACACATCGATACACACGTGACGATATACATATGTGCATGCATGCATGCATACATACATACACGCACATGCATGCATACATGCATACATACATACATGTATACAGACTGGCACACGTGCATACATACGTACAAACGTATATACATGCATACATACATCTATACATACACGCATGCATATATATACATATATATATATCTGCATGCATACATGCATGCATACACGTATATACACGTACGCACATACACACACATACATTCCTATATCCACATATACCTGCAGGCATGCATACATACATGCATGCATACCTGCATACATACATACATACCGGATGTGCATGCGTACATGCAGACATACATACAGACATATAAACAGACAGAAATACATACCGACAAACAGACAAACATCCATACAGACAGACAGGCAGACATGTTGACCTACACACATACGTACAGACATACTCACGTACATACATACATACAGACAGACAGACAGACAGACAGACAGACATACATACATAAATACGTACATACACACATACATACATACATACATACATGCGTACATACGCACAGGCGAACATACACTCGTACAGACAGACAGGCGGACAGACAGACAGACAGACAGGCAGACATACATGCGTACATACACACATACGTATTGACAGACAGACAGGCAGGCAGGCAGACAGACAGACAGACAAACAGACAGACAAACGGACAGCCATACATACATTTATACATACATACATACATACACACATACATACGTACGTACGTACGTACATACATACATACATGCATACACACCGCTCTTCACCCGCTAAGCAGAGGAGACCCTTTCCGCTGCGCCAGCGGCGCGGCAGCGGCGCGGCGTTGGGCGCCCGGCGCCCGCGGCCGCTCGCACCGCGGGCCGCGTGCGCGAGCGGCAGCCGCACCCGTCGTCACGCGGGGCGCCCCTGTCCGTCGCGCAGGAACTCGGGCAGCCGCGGCTCGGACGCGCCGGTGGAGACGAGGCCCTCCCAGCGGCCCGGCGCGGCCGGTTCCCAGGCCGCGGGCGGCTCGGCGGTGGGGCGGCAGCCGGGCTGGCTGGAGGCGCGCCGAGGGGCGGCGAGTCGGCGAGGACAACGGCGGCGGCGGCGACGGCGGCGACAGCGACGGCAGCGACGGCGGCGATGACGGCAACGCTGGCCTGGCTGGGGCCCTGCGCCCACTCGACAGGGCCGCCCCCCTCCTGCCCGGCCCCCCGACTTCGCGATCTTGTAACAACGTGGTCCCCCGCCTATTCTTCGATGGGCCCCTAAGATGACGACCTGCCGGACCACCCCAACCCAGCCAGAAGACCCAAATTTCGAATTTGGGGGGGGAGTACGGGTTTCATGCGTGTTCCGACGCCCCTCCCACTGGGAATGGAAGGCTTCGGGCTGGGTTGAGATGGTTTGGTGGGCGGTGGCGAGCAGGCCTAAGCGGCCCTAATTCAGGAGGCCCCGGTCTCCCAAAAAGCCCCCCCCCCGCCTTCTTCGGAGGCCGCCCCCCGCCGAGACCCCCGGCGCCAGGAGGTTGTGCCACGGCGTGGTGCCCCAGGGGTTTCGACCCGCTCCCCGGGGCCCGCTCTGCGTCCCGAGGTGTTCTCTGGCGGCCCTGGGGCCCAGCAAGGGGGCCCCAGAGGCCGAAGACAGCAAGAAACCGTGCCCCGTGATTCTTGTCACGACGCGAGCGGGCATTTGCTTCGGGGCCATGACTCGGGTCTCCGGCGGCGGATCAGGACGATCCAGGCACCCCCCGAACTGACTACCTACCAGACCACCCCAACCCAACCCAACCCAAAGACCCAACCTTCGTGTGGGGGGGGGTACGGGTTCCACATGCGTTCTTTCAATGTTCCCCGACGCCCTCCCACTGGGAATGGAGGGCAAATTGGGGCATTCGGGTGGTTGGGGTGGCTTGCTGGGTGGCGAGGAACGCCCTCTGCGAGGCGCAGCTGCTGGAAAGCACCCCGAAGCTGGAAAGCCGCCGCGAAGCGAAGAAGCCCGAAAACGTCGAACCTCGAACCGCGATCACTTGTTTTACGACGCGATGGGGTCTGTGTGGCCAGGCCCCCTTCAAGGATTGACAGCTTAACGAAAGCTGCTGGGGCACACCACGGGTGCGCACACCACTGCATTCCGAGTGCACCCGGGCGGAATCAACGTCCAAAACCAACCGATTGTACCCGGCGAAACGCGCGCTGATTAGCAAAACTGACCGGGGCCTGCACTGGCACACTCGCATGCCAGTGTCGAATGAACCCGTCCAGGTTTCCTCGCTCGACTTGTCTGCGTGGGTTTTCTTTGGAGGCTAGGAGATGGGCACCAACACCAACAAAAAGGGGTTGCCTCCACCAGGGTAAGATGATCCTCGATTCGGTGTTGGTGGTATCCGCCAGCCCCCTTGGGGGGCCATCAGGCTCCGCGGATTAGGCTTGCTGCTCCCTGCTCCAGTTCCAGTTTCCAGCACCCGATGCTACAATTCTGTGGTCTGCTTCCTACTGCGAACTGTTGAAGTCCGCGCGAGGGGGGGAGCCGAAAAGGGCCCTGGTTACCTTCACCTGGGGGGGTTCTCAAAATTTCTAGGGGGTCCTGGGACCATGCAAATACATGAGACTCGCGACCCCGACGCCATAATCCCTCGTACATTACGCCATAATTATTCGCGCCCCCGAGGCCATAATCCTCAATCAAATTTATGCAAGATTCGCGTCCCCGAGGCCATGCAACCTCGCAAATTCCACTGCGTTCGTGCTCCCGAGACCATAATTCCATGTAGATGATGCAATTTTCGCGTCTACGAGTCTACGAGACAATACTCTTTGGTAAATCATGCGATGCGCACCTGGATATCTCAAGTGGCCCCCGTTAGGAGTTCCGGCGCTGCTTCACGACGGCGCCCAGGCCTCACAGCATAGCTCTCGCATGCCCCATTATCCGAGAGAGGGGGCCCGCGGCAGGGAGCGAAGCCCTTGCGGATAATCTCTCGGCCGCCTAGGAAGCCCGAATATCACCCCCACCACCGAGATCGGGATCGTCCTCCCTCGGTGGATGCACACAGCCGATAGCTATTGGTGTTGGTATCAACCTCTAGCCCTCCGATCGGCTACACGCAAGAGTGACGCTGGGCAAGAGTGACCTGCGGTGCGCGGCTTCAGGGGGGGCGCGAGGGGGCCCAAACCAAGCGCGCAAGCCGCGGCTATCACATCGCACTCAGCGATCGGGAAGAACCCGTGAGCCCGCAGCAAAGGTCACTCCGGCGAAGGGTCACTCCTGTGTGCAGTCGATCCGAGGTCTCGCGATGCCCGACCCCTCGGCGCGCCGCCGGGCTCGGGCGGCGCGTCCTCCGCCGCTCGGCGCGCCTGCGCCGCTCGGCGCGCGTGCTCCTCGAGCATCACGGCCACGCTCTCGAAGGCGGCGGCCTCCTCCCGCCCGCCAGCACGGAGGCGGCTGCCCGCGCGCCGGGCCGTCTCGGCGGGCGTCCGCCCGTCCTCGCCGGAGCGGCCAAGATCTCCGACAACGACGACGGCGACGGCGACGGCGGCGACGATATCGACGACGATGATATCGACGACGACGAGGACACCGACGACGGCAAGGACGCAAACGAGGACGTCGACGAGGACGACAGCAACGACGACGACGACGACGACGACGGCGACGACACTGACGATGATTGTTCGATGCTGGCGTTTTCCTCGACTCTGCAGCTCCCAGACCCCCTCGGGTCATGACGAAATTGCGACGGTAGGTTGTTGGCGATGTTCGGCCTCTGGGGGCCCTCGACGGGCCCTGGGACCGTCAAGGGACGACTCGGGATGAAAAACGGTCCTGGGGAATGGGTAGATACCTTCGGGGGTCCACGTCAGGAAGAATCATGACGTCGGGGGCCTGGGCTTGGACCACCGCTGGGATTGCTAAAGGGATAGGGGTGTCTAAGTGGGTGCCAAGGTGGGCGACATCTGCTCTCACCTAGCTTACGAGTGGGCTGCAAGTGCCGTGCGCGGCATTCTGGGGGAAAAGATCGATGCTGAACATCTAAAACCCTTATCTTACCCTCTGGGCAATCTAAGCGGCGATTTAAGTCATAGCGTTTCGCTTGAGGGTTCTATTCGTAGAAGAGAACAATATCCTGGCGAAAGACCCAATCATATGCAGTTGTGGGTACCGCAATTGTGAATACCTTCATCGGTGAAGCTCTGTATGGGGCCACGAAGCGCTGCACTGGGTGGGGGGAACGCACGCGGGCGGTAGCAGTTTGTGTGTTCGTGTGTTTGTGTTGTGTGGTTGTGTGTTTGTGTGTTTGTGTGTTGGTTTGTGTGTGCTTGTGTGTTTGTGTGTTTGTGTGTTTCTGTGTTTGTGTGTTTGTGAGTTTGTGTGTTTGTGTGCTTGTGTGTTTGTGTGCTTGTGTGTTTGTGTGTTTGTGTGTTTGTGTGTTTGTGAGCTTGTGAGTTTGTGAGTGTGTGAGTTTGTGTGATTGTGTGTTTGTGTTTGTGTGTTTGTGTGTGTTTGTGTGTGTGTGTGTGTTTGTGTGTGTTGGTGTGTTTGTGTGTGTGTGGGGGGACGCATGCGGGCGGTCCCACTGGGAGCTTCGGTGGAGCTCCCTTTGGGGCCACGAAACGCTGGGGGTGTACTGGGTGGGTGAAAATGCCAACTTGGATTTTCGTGACGCGTGCGGAGGGTCTCACTAGGGTGGAGCTCTCTATGGGGCCACGAAGCGCTGTACTGGGTGGGTGGACATGTCAAATTCATTCGTCCCGGACGGTCCCACGGGGGCTTCGATGGAACTCCCTATGGGGCCACGAAGCGCTGTGCTGGGTGGGTGAAAATGCAAAATTCATGCGCCCCGGACTGTCCAACTGGGGGCCTCGGTGGGGCTCCCTATGGAGCCACGAAGCCCTGTACTGGGTGTGCGGGACGCATGCGGACGGTAGCACTGGGACCTGCGGTGGGGCTCCCCATGGGGCCACGAAGCGCTGTACTGGGTGTGCGGGACGCATGCGAACGGTAGCACTGGGACCTTCGGTGTGGCTCCCTATGGCATATGGGGCCACGAAACGCTGTACTCGATGCGCGGGACGCATGCGGACGGTGGTACGGCACTGGGACCTTCGGTGGGGCTCCCTGTGGGGCGACGAAACGTTGTACTAGGTGTGCGGTGGAGCTCCCCATGGGGCCACGAAACGCCGTACTGGGTGGGTGAAAATGCCAAATTCACGCGTCCCCGACTGTCCAACTGGGGGCTTCGGTGGGGCTCCCTATGGAGTCACGTAGCGCTGTACTGGGTGTGCGGGACGCATGCGGACGGTAGCACTGGTACCTTCGGTGGGGCTCCCTATGCGACCACGAAACGCTGTACTAGGTGTGCGGGACGCATGCGGACGGTAGCACTGGGACCTTCGGTGGGGCTCCCTATGGGGCCACGAAACGCTGTACTAGGTGTGCGGGACGCATGCGGACGGTAGCACTGGGACCTTCGGTGGGGCTTCCTGTGGAGCCACGAAGCGTGTGAGGGGTGTGCTAGAACGGGTGCTGATGCTGATGATGCTGATGATGCTGATGATGATGATGATGATGATGATGATGATGATGATGATGATGATGATGATGATGATGATGGAGGAGGAGGGAGGAGGAGGAGGAGGAGGAGGAGGAGGAGGAGGAGGAGGAGGAGGGGGAGGAGAACGCGGGGACCGTTATTTCAAAACGAGGACCCAACACCACAGGATGGTTGGAAACAAAAAAGAGCCCTACAGGGGGGGACGGGGAGCCCGAGACCGCAGCCCGAGACCGCTCGATCCGGAGGCGGTCTGGCAGCCATTTCGCTTCAGACTTTTCTCACAATGTCTTAAGGAACCGTGTTCTCGCCTCACTGCCAGCTTCGTGTTTAGTCCAGGTGGCCACGATCCCTTCTGAAAAAACGCTACAGTGCGCATGGCCGCGCTCTCACCCTTGTCCCTGTATCCGCCGCCGTGTCGCTGGGCACGGAGTGGGCGTGTCCTCAGGTCCTGGGTCCAATCCTCTAAGCCTCAATCCTCACTCCTGCGGAGTCTTCAAAAGGCCCGGACCCTGCGCTCCCCCTGGGACTTCCCGCGTGCCCCCTGGGCTCCGGGACGTGTTATCGCGTGAATTTTCGGAAAGCCCCAAGACGGGCCAAGAGGGCCCCAAGAGGCCCCCCAGAACGGTCAATGATGGCCCCGAATCGCCGAACCATCGCTGGAAGACGCTCAAGATGGCCCCCAGACGGCCCAAGAGGCCTCCACGACGCCCAAATGGGTCTCCACAGGCCTCTTGGAGGCCCCAAGGAGGCCCCAAGAGGCCAAAATCATTCCTTCATTGTCCTTCGGTGTTTGAAAGATTTTGGCGTTCTCGTCTTTTCGATTTTCCGACGCTCCAGGATGGCACAAGAGGCCCCCAAGACCACCCCAAAACGGCCTCCAAGGAGCCCCAGGACGGCCTAAGAGCGCCCCAACACGGCTCAAGGGGCGCCCAAGACGGCCCAAGAGAGACCCCGGACGGCCCCAAAAGGGGGGGGGGCCCAGAGAGGGAGCACGAACCGAAAATCCGAGCCTTCCGCCCCGAGAAGCCCCCAGGAGGCCCCAAGAGGCGCCCAGGAGACCCCAAGAGCCCAAGAGGCGCCCAAGAGGCCCAAAAGATGCCCCAAAGAGCCCCCAAGAGGCCTTCTGACTGCCTCCAAGAGGCCCCCGAGAGGCCCCCCACAAGATCCCATCGAACATCCAACAGGCTTCATTCCCGCAACCTAGGCACGGAGGCGGGATAGGCCGAAGGCCATGAGATCCGCCGCCCCCTTTTGATTTATCAAGGGAGTGCCTGGCGTACTAGACCCTATCGGTTTTGGTTTTGGCTCTTTTTCCAAAAGAACTCCTCCTGGGGCTTCGGCCCGTCCCGCCGGCCACCCGAAGACCCGGTTGCCAGCGGTATTCCTGCCCCAGTCGGCCCCAAGAAGATGGCCTCCAAGACGGCCAAGATGCCTCCAAGACGGCCGAGATGGCCTCCAAGACGGCTCAGATGGCCCCAAGATGCCTCCAAGACGGCCCAAGATGTACCCTAGACGGCCTAAGCTAGCCTGAAGATGGCCCATGACGGCCCAAGAGGCCCCCCGGAGGCCTCCAAGACGGCCCAAGAGGCCTCCAAGAGGTCCTCCAGGAGGGCCCGAAGAGGCCAAAACCATTGATTTTCCTTAGGTGTTTGAAGGATTTTGGAATTTGCTTCTTCTCGGCATTCCGACGGCTCAAGACGGCCCAAGAGGCCCCCAAGATCGCCCAAGAGGCCCCCAAGAGGGCCCCATGACGGCCCAAGTGGACTCCAAGACGGCCCCAAAAGGGCCTCCAAGACGGTCCAAGAAGCCTCCAACACGCCCAAGATGGCCTCCAAGACGCCCAAGATGGCCTCCAAGACGGCCCCGAAGCGCCCAAAGAGGGCCCCAAGTCGGCCCAGAAAGGCCCCCAAGACGGCTCCCGACGGCGTCAGACGTGACAGGAACCCACCAAGATGGCCGAAGTTGGCTTGAAGCTGGCCAAAGACGGCACAAGAGGCCCCCAAGAGGGCCTCCAGGCAGGCCAGAAAAAGGCAACAAAAACATTGAATTTACTAAGATTGCTGACGGATTTTGACATTTGCTTCTTTTCGGTCTTCCGACGGCCCGAGACGGCCCAAGAGCCCCAAAGATCGCCGAAAGATCGCCCAAGAGGCCCCAGAACGGCCCAAGAGGGCCCCAAGACGGCCTCAAGAGGCCCCCAAGACGGCACAGGAGGCCTTTAAGACGCCCAAGATGGCATCCAGGACGGCCCTGGAGCATTCCAAGAGGGCCCCAAGTCGGCCCATAGAGGCCCCCCAAACGGCTTCCGACGGCGTCAGACGGACCAGGAGCCCACCAAGACGGCCGAACATGGCCCTAAGATGGCCCAAGACGGCCCAAGAGGCCTTCAAGAGGGCCTCCAGGAAAGCCCGAAAAGGCCAAAATCATTGATTTCCCATGGGTTGTTCAAGGATTGTGGCATTTGCTTTTTCTCTGCCTTCCGACGGCCCTAGACGGCCCAAGTGCCCCCAAAGATCGCCCAAGAGGCCCAAGACACGGCCCCAAGAGGCCCCCAAGACGGCCCAAGAGGTCTCCAAGACGCTCAAGATGGCCTCCAAGACAGCCCAAGAACCCTCCAAGACGTCCTCTCAGAAGGCCCGAAAGGGTCAAAATGGCCTCCAGACGGCCAAGATGACCTTCAAGATGCTCCCCGAAGGCTTTCCAAACCGATTCGGGGAACACATACCTCGTAGAGCTCTTCGTTATCGATGAGCTAGAGGAATTCCGGCGCGGGGTGGAGCTAGTTGGCCGACCCGACCAAAAGAGACAATGTGACAACTTTGGGTGGGTTTTGCTAAGATTTGAAAGATATTTGACAATTTATTTTGAGAAACCAGATTTTTCGCACCTGTAGTTGGTTATTCCGCGTTTGCCAGTCAAATTCTCAGGTCC